ACAGCGTTCAAATGAGAGTGTCTCAAATGACTGCTCTTGTGGAATAGAAATCTAAGATGTACAGTGGGCCCAAACTCCTCTAATGTGCACAGATTTATTATTTGACAAGAAAAGTGATAAGAAAATAGGTTTATTTTGGTGAAATCATGTTCAAAGCATAGGAAAAACGTTTATATTACAGGAACTTGACTTTTGGATACAATTCTCCCTAGTCTACTTCCTGTACTTTTCAATGTTTCTTTACAATTTGCTTCTTGATTGGTGTACAACTGCCATTTATATTTACAACAGGTATTCTCCTTATGCCCTCTTTCATATTGCTGAGACATTTTTATTACTTATTTCTATTTTATTTTATTTTTTCTTATATATATACATTTATATAATTACGCCTTATTTGACACCAGTCTCTTGCTATTTTTGAATTTATGATGACCATCTATATTTTTGCTCATTGTTATTATATTATATTGTGATGTATGAGCTACTCTGTCCAAGTAATTTCCCTTGTGACTCAATAAAGTTTGTCTAAGTTAAGTTTGTCTAAGTCTATCTCACCAAATTAGAGAATCTCAAACTCAAAACACAAATGTTGTTGCTTAATGAACTTTCTTGTGGCTAAAATCAAACAGTCCCTTCTTGCCTTTTTTATGTTGAGAAAGCTACTGATTCTTTCCAGTGACATCACACTGGGGATGTTGTATTTGTATCTCTATGGTGGAAGGTTCAGGATTACCATGGTGACACAATGCACTCATTAGCAAACACGGACAAAAAAGTTTAAGACAGTCAGAAAACTCAAGAAAATACAAATAGATTTAAACAGCATATTTTCAGGAGCCTGTGATCAATACGAGTGTCCATGGTCCTTTTTACGTGTTTGATTTTCAACAAAATAGGTGAGAGGGAGAAACAGTGTTCATTACTCTATAGCTTAAAGCTGCATTATGTAACTTTTCTCACAACTGTCTCCACGGAGATCATGGGCCATATATATGAGTGGACATAGCTAACGCTCTAGCCGCTCTGTGGCTTTGTGCCAAATAGGAAGTTCATCAGGAGGCTCTTCTGGCTCCTTCTGGCTCCAATTGACTTACATTAGGATCTTGTCTCTCCTTTCTCTGTAACTGCTGCTGCGAGCCTCGTCATTTTGGTTTTAAAATATTCGTATTAACACATGACACATGATCCTGAATTTTTTTTTTGGCTATTTTGTCTGTCAAAAAACTCCTGTTGATAACATAGAGCCTGGCTCCAAATTCACTCTTGTAACCGTGAGTATCGAGAGCCTCATTTGAGCGGAGCTGAACACTGTGGGTGACGTCACACTCACTTAGTCCACTTCTTCATACAGTCTCTGGTGGAGATATTGCTTTGGTCTGTTTCACAGCATTTAATAAATTGCATGTGTTTTATTTACTAAACACATACCTTGAAAACATGCATGTTTCTGTGAGCAGTTTTGCCTCTCCACAGATCTGACCTGTAAACTGGCATGATGCTGTCACTGCAGAACAATAACATTTTAAATGACTCATATGTGAGAAATACAGATGTGTTGTCTGCATGAAGTCTACTGTGTAGGATCTACAAATCCTATCATTTACTACATTCCAGTAGAACATGCATGAAGAGTGTAATAGCCTGGTGGCAACCTTAGCGGTTTTCAAAGGAACAGAGTCAAGTTGAGCCGGTTTACAGTGCAGATCGCAGTGCATTTATTAAAGACAAAAATAGAAAAGTATTTACAAAAGTTAGCCAAAAAAAAAAAGGTTAAAAACAGGCATGGCAGTTACCTGCGCTCACACAGCACCTGTTCCTGAACAAGGTGAGGCTGACTTCTTTTAAAAGGCCTTGTCCTAATTGGGTGAGTCCACTTTAACGACTAGGTAAGCTCAATACCTTTTACATTTAATATCTAAAATCTAACTATCAAAACAGTGCCCAAACAATATCCAATTACATTAATTACAAAAATATATATCTCTTTACTTAAATTAGCAGTGTTTAATGTTTTTAAATACTAAATAGAAAAAGTTAAAAATTTGTGCTCCCCTCCTCCAAACAACATGGTTGGCTGCCCCGGAACCTTCTTAAGGTGCTCCAGCTGCCCGTGGCCTCTTTTGGCCGGAGCACCTGAGGCAGACCACACCAGAGGGTAAGTACAATTACTTTAACACAATTACTTAAATTTAAATGCACTTTTACTTTTACTTATTTCCTTTTCTTTTACAGGTAACTTCAATATGCACATACTCAATTATTCCAATAAACCTTTCTAAAACTTTGTTTCAGTTTCTCATTATTTTACCCTTTAATTAGCCCTAGGCCCAAGTAATGGACTGGCTACATTACAAAGAGGAAAAATGCAAAGTTTTATGACCCTAGTAAAACTATAATGTGCTGCTTTTGGGAAAGTTCCACCTATAAACTTACAGTGTTAACATACAGGGTCTAACACATAGGTTGTAGAAAGAAGTGGACTAAGGGAGTCACCCAACAAATATACAACAACTCACCCTTATGTAACAGATAACCCTGTGTTCTTTCAATCATCTTCCTATCTCTTGTATAAAGCTGTGATTTGATTACTTATCGTTCTATTTTATTATGACTTGTATATATTAGGGGTGTAACGATGTCCAAGTCTCACGATACGATATCGTCATGGTATGAACCTCATGGGACGATATTTATTGCAATATCGTGGAAACTTCACGATATGGTGGGGAGGCTGACGATTAGGGATGTAACAATATCCAAATCTCTCAGTATGATATTTTCATGATATACATCTCACGGTACGACATTTATTGGGATATTTTGTGATATTTTATTAACAAAACTGTTAATATTCCTCTTAAAATGCCTTGACAAGACTTAATCCAAAGACTTAAAAGTGCTTAGAACTGGTATTTCTTCTTGTAGTCTGCACTGGATCATGGTTTATGTAGTTCCCTGTGTCTTTTTTTAGCTATTGCTGCACCATAACTCTTAATTTAAGCAAAGAGACTTGTAATTCGATACATTGTGATGGTCTACGATACAATATCACGATATTTCGACTGTTACATCCCTAGTATATATACGATTATATAATTATGTCTTAATTGTCACCAGTCTCTTGCTGTCTTTTTTGCTACTTATTTTGAATTTATTATTACCATTTTACCAATTCTAATACAGAGCTCTGGGTCAGATCGTTGATCGTTGTCCCTAACTGCCCATGGCAGTTTTCTCCATCTGCAACTTGAGTATTTGGACCTCCAGGTTGAGTTTTTCTCTCTCCAGGAGCAGGTTTTTCTTCTGCAGATCCAGGATCTCTTCATCAACCATCACTGAGCTCATAGTGGGAGCTAGAGCATGCAGCAGCTCGGCCTCATCCAACTCCACTGGAAGAAGAATAACACGTGAGAAAAACAAGACTGTTAGATCAGGATATGTCTAAATATTTCTCCTATTAGCAATAACCAGGTGCCGTTCATTCATGAAAAATGTGCTATAGGCCGGTAAATATCTCATCTTCACATGCAAACTTCACACAGAAAGAAGTTGAACCCAAGATCTTCTTGGTGTGAGGTGACTAACAGCAACGATAATGCAACATTTTACAATTTTATGCTCTTAGGTTAGGTTGATTTATTCGTACCCATAGGTAAATTTGCTTTGCAGATTTGAGAGGCAGGTTCCACATTTCACATTTCATTCAACCACAAAACACAATAAAAACACAATTACAAATAAAGTGTTACAGAGCTCCAGTGCAGAATGGTTTGTTCCATAAACAATTAGTAAAATTCATCCATCACGCTTGGCTAAAATCACAATAAATATTAAATATGTTAAAAACACACAATCTTCGATAAATAGATTACAGTTTATTCATAAGTATGATAGCAGCTGGAACAAAGCTCCTTTTAAAATGATTTGTTCTAGATCTTGGGACTAAAAGCCTCTGACCATCGGGAAGCAGCTGCAAATCTGAGTTTAGTGAATGTTGCTCATCTCTTAAAATACTCTGGGACATCCTCTGTAAGTGTCTCGAGTACAGAGAGTCCAGCAGCTCTGAGGATAGCCAGTCACCAAACTCGCCCATTTAACCGACTGATTCAGGGAGTTCTTGTTTTTAACAGAAATGCTCCCAAACCACGAGAGCAATGAAAACGTTAAAACTGATTCCATAAATGTTTTATAGAACAGCGTCATCATAGCTCTGTCTACACGGTAAAAGGACAACTTTCTCAGACAATGGAGGCACTGGTGGCCTCTTTTACACACAGCGGAACAATTATCATCAAAACTCAATTTTGAATCAGTGAGTGTTCTGGTACTAATGTTGATACAATGGCTTCTGGTGCAGGGTTCATCAAACGTTTTTCACCATAGAGATGTTATTGCTTTGTCAGAAATGTTTCCCAGTGTGGCTTTAAACCTTTCTATCTTCATGGAGACCAAACAAGGCCAAGTTACTGGTGAGAGAATCACCAGTCGGAGAGGGAACCTGAACCACAGAATAAATGTTTTTTCTAGACATTTTGAACAATAAAACCAACTGAATAAAGGTAAGATAGATCTGTTAATGTCATACTGTGGAATATTCAAAGCAAAGCAGTAACATTTCCATAGAAGGTGATGGACCCCAACTGAAAAGTAATAATGCACCTTTAAGTATCTACCAATATCAGGAAATACTATTTATTTATTTTAAACACAAATGGTTTATAGGAAAAAACTATCCAAATGTGTTTTGTAACTTCTTTATCATGTAAAGTAATTACTGAACAGTGATATAAAAATACAAGTTCAATATTACAAAGTGTTTTGGGCCACCATTGGCGAGTAAAAAGTTTTGTTGCTCCAATTAGTGTACCAAAATGGGATATTGACTGATCTTGGCCCAGATATTCAGCAGTGACATTGATATCCGATACCAGTATCATATCGGTGCACCTACACTTACTCGTGATGATTGATACCCTGACCAATCAATAGTGAAATTAGTTTTCATATTCCAGACACACTCATGACATATCCATAGAAACAAACAGGTGACGGATCCCCAACCAAAAAGTTACACTGTGCACCTTTAATCAGTTAGAGACTTAAAGAGAGTTCCATCTCTTACCCTCCTCGTCGTATGGGGTTGAGCACTCGAGTGTGACCTCGACAGGATAATGGTCACTCACGTCTAAGGCCTGGAAAACACAGACATTTAATATAACAAAAAAGCTGATAAAAGAATCCAGTGGTAATAAGTAGAGGCTGAGTATTGAGTACCCGTTCATCAGAGAGTCCGTAGGCTTCCTGAAAGTTGAATGGTTTGGCCGATCCTGGGACAACAGCCTGGAACATGTCATCACCATAGACAACAATTCTAGGGGGAAAAGGTGGTCAATTTAGTTCTGTTTTAGTCCTGGTTCCGTCCTGGTTTAGTCCTGGTTCAGTCCTGGTTCAGTCTTGTTTTAATTCTGTTTTAGTCCTGGTTCAGTCCTGGTTCAGTCCTGTTTTAGTCCTGGTTCAGTCCTGGTTCAGTCCTGGTTCAGTCCTGGTTCAGTCCTGTTTTAGCCCTGGTTCCGTCCTCTTTTAGTTCTGGTTCAGTCCTGGTTCAGTCCTGGTTCAGTCCTGTTTTAGTCTTGGTTCAGTCCTGTTTTAGTCCTGGTTCAGTCCTGTTTTAGTCCTGGTTCAGTCCTGGTTCAGTCCTGGTTTAGTCCTGGTTCCGTCCTGGTTCCGTCCTGGTTCAGTCCTGGTTTAGCCCTGGTTCCGTCCTGGTTCAGTCCTTTTTTAGTCTTGGTTCAGTCCTGGTTCAGTCCTGATTCAGTCCTGTTTTAGTCCTGTTTTTGTCCTGGTTCAGCCCTGGTTTAGTCCTGGTTTAGTCTTGGTTCCATCCTGTTTTAGTCCTGGTTCAGTCCTGCTTCAGTCCTGGTTTAGTCCTGGTTCCGTCCTGGTTCAGTCCTGGTTTAGTCCTGGTTCCGTCCTGGTTCAGTCCTGGTTTAGTCCTGGTTTAGTCCTGGTTCTGTCCTGGTTCAGTCCTGGTTTAGTCCTGGTTCCGTCCTGGTTCAGTCCTGGTTTAGTCCTGGTTTAGTCCTGGTTCAGTCCTGGTTTACCTGTCATAGGTGTTTGTGTTCATTGTGCTGGTTGTAGTGTCCTGGTCGTCTGAGATGAGCCAGTGGAAGTCCTCGTCGCTACGGATACGGATCATGTTCATGTGAGCTTCAGAAAGGTACGAACCATCAGCGTTGAAGTCCCCAAGAATCATTATGTTCTGAAGGACAAAAAATAGACCTGGTTTAGTTCTGGTTTAGTCCTGGTTTAACCTTGGTTTAGGGTTGGTTTAGTCCTGTTCAGACCTTAGTTTAATTGGGTTCTATAAATTATCTATACATTCTTATTATTTTAGTCTTTGGGTCACAAGGAATAAACTGGGTCCTGGTTCGGTCCTGCTTTTTTTTTAGTTCTGTTTAGTCCTGTTCTGTTGAGCTTCAGGCAGAGCAGTGCCTCAAGTTAGCATCACACCCCCAGGGAATGTTGATGAAATCAGCTGCAAATGATCAATTATCAATATAATATAAAAATGTACTAGTCTCTCCAAATCCAGCTCTAGAGACAACCTTTTACTATTTGTGATTAAATGTTGAGTCCTTACATCAGTTTGCCATTTTTCCTTAACATCCATAAACACCTCGTGAAGTTTGTCCAGTTCAGCCTCAGCTTCCTCTGGAGTCGTGTGAACTGGGATGAGAACGAAATCCAGCTCTGAAACACAAGTTCTAATGTTAGAGGGCCAATATTATGCTAGTTTCTGATCTATGTTATCACGTTGTTTCTTCATCAAAAACAGACCTGGAGTTGTGTTTTGTTTCATTCACACGTTTAACACGCAAACCCTGCATATTTAGGCTGTGTTCTTCTCACAAACAGAAAACACTGTTCCACTTTGTGATGTCATATTATAATACAGGAAATGCTCTACTGTATTTTCAAACTCACCCCTGGAATCGCCAATCTCTACTGAACTAAAGGTAACTTGAAAACTACCACTTCGTGACATCACAAGGAGGAACAGAGCATTTTGAGCTTTGGAGATGTACACAGACTAATACTAAAGAGTTACTCAAACATGTGTGAATGAAACAAAACACAACTCCAGGTCTGTTTTTGAGGACGTAACAACATTACAACATGCCTTAAACCTCACAAGAGACTTGTATCAGTTACAATCAGTGTTGCCAGATTGGGTGGGTGCTTTTTTTTTTTTTTTTGAGTACATCAGGCTGGGAGGGGAAGCCTCAGGCGGGCAGATAATATTTGGACTACTTTCAACAAGTTTGGGTGTTTTTTGTTTTTACACCAATCAGTGTGACACGCAGTAATGCAATAACACGAGGAACTGTATGTGACTTTCACTCCTGTCCAGACTTTGGTCTCAGCCTGTGCAGAAATGAATGGACATCATCCAACGTTCAGACGTCCCCGGTGTTCAGCTGTTGTGGAGATTCAGTTCTTTGATGTATGAGTCTTAGGCTCTGGGTTTGTCAGCTGTTTGCAGTAGCCTAGGCTGTAGCCGACCATTGATGATATTCATTTTTATGCCTGATGAAAAAGCTGTTCTACTGAAGGTTTTACAAAACATGTTTTCTCAATCCAGGCAAAGTTTATAAAAAGACAATACATTACGTTACAGCATGTTTTCTGTGATAAATGAAAATACTGTTCTACATTTAACATGTTTTCTCAATACCAGCAATGTTTTTAAAAAGCCCAGCAATGGATCACATACATTTATTCAAAGATTAAATGTTTTCTGTGACAAAATGTTGTTGGGCGCTTTTTTTTTTTTTTTTTTCTTTTGCTGAGGAGGGCAGATTTTCGAACGTGATTGGGCGGAAATCACACAACCCAATCTGGCAACACTGGTTACAATATGCCATGAAATAAGTGGTCATATTTACAGGACAAACTCTGTTGCATTCACCTGATGTGAGACATTTGAACCTCACGATGTAGGGGTCTCGAGCAAATACATCGTAGCTCAAAGTTCCGATGTCATCAAATTGATATGTGTCGACCAAGTCCACCAAGTTATTCCTACAAAAGAATCAGTCAAGTATACATTATTATAAGCTCTGAAAATGTCCTTTTGACAACTTTTCCACACATTTTATAAACGCTCACACTTGTTTTGGTCCTGGTAATGGATTGACCCTATTACCATTTTATGCTATTTTCTGTTATGATGTTTCCTCATCACAAACAGAACTGGAGTTGTATTTCCTGCCATTTTCACAATTTTAACACACAAACGACTGTTCCGCCACCTTGTGATGTCATGTGGTAATACAGGAAGTGCTACACTGTGTTTGTAAACTATTCACTTTAAATCATTTGGATAATTTAAGATCTGGAATTTCCTGTTACTACTGAAAAAAAGGTAAAAGGCTGCTGTTTGAAAACAGCTTGAAAATTACCACTACATGACATTACAAGGTGGAACAGAGCATTTTGAGCTTTGGAAATGTATACAGACAAATAATCCAGGATAACTCAGACACGTGTGAATGAAACGAAACACAAATCCAGGTATGAGGTAACAGCATTCTAACATGACTAAAAACTCACGAGTCAGTTTTGTGTAATATAAGACCTTAAACAAGACCAAATTACAACTTTATTGATCTTGAGTGGAGGAATTAACAGTCGACCCAAATATTGTGTGACAGGTTTGTTAATGAAAACCTTGATAAACTCGAGAATGAATAAAGCAACACTAATAAAAGGGACACTGGGCGGACTGAAAAACTAATCCGTAAAGCTGCACCAAACTATAGACAGAGGAGCTCATTCTCCAACAGGCTCCTACAGCTCCACTCAAACAGTGAGACACTCCCTACAACTGTACAACAACCCACCTTACATAATAGATAATACTCCCTACAACTGTACAACAACCCACCCTTACATAATAGATAATACTCCCTACAACTGTACAACAACCCACCCTTACATAATAGATAATACTCCCTACAACTGTACAACAACCCACCTTACATAATAGATAATACTCCCTACAACTGTACAACAACCCACCCTTACGTAATAGATAATACTCCCTACAACTGTACAACAACCCACCCTTACGTAATAGATAATACTCCCTACAACTGTACAACAACCCACCCTTACGTAATAGATAATACTCCCTACAACTGTACACCAACCCACCCTTACATAATAGATAATACTCCCTACAACTGTACAACAACCCACCCTTACATAATAGATAATACTCCCTACAACTGTACAACAACCCACCCTTACATAATAGATAATACTCCCTACAACTGTACACCAACCCACCCTTACATAATAGATAATACTCCCTACAACTGTACAACAACCCACCCTTACAATAATAGATTAATACTCCCTACAACTGTACAACAACCCACCCTTACGTAATAGATAATACTCCCTACAACTGTACAACAACCCACCCTTACGTAATAGATAATACTCCCTACAACTGTACAACAACCCACCCTTACGTAATAGATAATACTCCCTACAACTGTACAACAACCCACCCTTACGTAATAGATAATACTCCCTACAACTGTACAACAACCCACCCTTACATAATAGATAATACTCCCTACAACTGTACAACAACCCACCCTTACGTAATAGATAATACTCCCTACAACTGTACAACAACTCACCCTTATGTAACAGATAATACTCCCTACAACTGTACAACAACCCACCTTACATAATAGATAATACTCCCTACAACTGTACAACAACCCACCCTTATGTAACAGATAATACTCCCTACAACTGTACAACAACCCACCCTTACATAATAGATAATACTCCCTACAAGTGTACAACAACTCACCCTTATGTAACAGATAATACTCCCTACAACTGTACAACAACTCACCCTTATGTAACAGATAATACTCCCTATTACTATTACTCCATATTATTTTTATTATAATATGCTGTGAGCTACTGTGTCCAAATAATTTCCCATTTGGATCAGTAAAGTTTGTCTAATGAAGAATGAAATATTTTACCTGTAGAGGAACACGAACTGCTCCTTGTAGCTGGACCGTCCCAGTCTCCTGCTGATCTTTAGGCTGTATTGATTGTTCTTGTTTCCCCTGGGGCAAGAGATTATTGACATCAACCATTAAAGATCCCAGTGTTAAACGTGAATTTGTTACTACATAGATAGATTAAATAGATAGATACATGTAGATGCCTACTTTATTGATCACTAAGGAACTGATTCAATATTCAATACCCAATTCAGTACCGCAGTGATCAGAAGAACACTCTTTTTATTGAAGACATATTGTTGTGTCTGCTGTAATCTATGTGGATCATTATGTTATAATTTGTACATTTTACATTGTACATAAATTGCAAAATTCATCTAAAAGGATGTAATAAAAGAAACAACTGATTTCTGTGTTAGAAAACTGTGGTGCCCAATGGGAGTCAACATCGCTGTAAATGTCAGTGGATTTTTTTGTGTGATGCTGCAGAAGTGGGCGTATTCCAGGGACAGTGAAAATATGAACTGATCGGCAATACGGCGTCTTGAAAATAAGTCATTAAAGATTGCTCAAACATGCAGAAATTACTCAACAAATTATACAACTTCGAGAGGGTAAAAAAAGAGGAAACAACTATAACATGGTTAAAAGGTCTAAAAAGTGGATTTTGCAGAATAGGTCTGCTTTAAGGTAAAGTAGACTTCACTTCAATTAATTCTCTGCATTTGGTGGAAATTAGCATTTTGGAGACTAAACATGCAGGATTATTCAAACACATGTGAATGAAACAAAACATGACTTCTGGTATTGTTATGATGAAGAAACAGCATTATGACGTTTTAAGATGACATTAAAAACATAAAGAGTGACTGGGACTGACTTGTTGAGAGCTTTTAGCAGAATTTTGATGGCGCTTCCGCTTCTATCCACCAACTCCAGGATCAGGATTATGTCATAACGAGACACAATCTGAAACCAAAACAGTTTTAAATACACACAAATCACTGCAGGAGTCCATCTGTAAGTGACACTGTCCTCACCTTTGCCAGGATCCAGATGATGTGTGGGTCAGATGCTTTCTTAGGGCCAAACCTCTGAATGTTAAAAGAAGCGATTTTCATTTTGGCTGCAGCACATTAAAGAGGAAAAGACATGTATCAGTATAACGTGCACGAGAGATCTACACGCTACTTTAGTTAAGTAGAGTGACCAGGACAAATACCAGTAATCCTGATACAGTCCTGGTTTGGTCCTATAGTTTAGCCCTGGTTCAGTTCTAGTTTAGTCCTGGTTTAGCCCTGGTCCAATCCTGGTTGAGTTCTGATTTGATTCTGGTTCAGTCCTGGTTTAATCCTGGTTCAGTCTTAGTTTAGCCCTGGTTCAGTCTTGGTTTAATCCTGGTTCAGTCTTAGTTTAGCCCTGGTTCAGTCTTGGTTTAATCCTGGTTCAGTCTTAGTTTAGCCCTGGTTCAGTCTTGGTTTAATCCTGGTTCAGTCTTAGTTTAGCCCTGGTTTAGTCCTTGTTCAGTCTTGGTTTAGTCCTGGTTCAAATCTGATTTAATCCTGGTTCAATCCTAGTTTAATCTTCGTTTAATCCTGGCTCAGTCCTGGTTTAGTCCTGGTTTAGCCCTGGTTCAATCCTGATTTAATCCTAGTTCAGTTCTGGTTTAACCCTGGTTCAGTCCTAGTTTGGTTCTTGTTTAGTTCTGGTTCAGTCCTGTTTTATTCATAGTTTAGTCCTCATTTAGCCCTGGTTCAATCCTGATTTAATCCTAGTTCAGTTCTAGTTTAGCCCTGGTTCAGTCCTGGTTTGGTTCTTGTTTAGTCCTAGTTCAGTCCTGTTTTATTCCTAGTTTAGTTCTCATTTAGCCCTGGTTCAGTCCTGGTTTGGTTCTCGTTGAGTCCTGGTTCAGTCCAGTCCTGGCTGTTATTGTTATTGTTAGCTGTTATTTGATGTGCAGTAGTTTCATTAGAGTAGTAGTATTAGCAGAAGAAGTAAAAGCAGAAGCATCTTTAAAGCAACACTGTGTAACCTCGCTCACTGTAAGAATGTTTTGCAAGCTATTCTGAGTAATTGAATGAAGGTTTGTGGAAATGCAAGCCTACTCACAGTAGGGACGTGTTTAATGAAAAAGAAACAACCAAAACCTGCTTGTATTTTAGGCTAAAATGTCATGCACTGGGATTTCAAGGAGTACAATCTTAAAAAAAAAAAAAATAGAAAGCTTGATTTCCTCTTGTAATATTACACACTTGTTTAAGGTCTATTCTCATGTTTGTGTGAGGGTCAGTCCAGAGGTTCAGTATGGGGTTGCATGGATTTGATTATTTGTGCTGAATTGTGTAGCAGAAACCATTTTTATTATTCATTAATCCATTTTTTAAAAAATTTGCTTAAACTAGATGTGTGCTAAAAAAAACAAAACAAAACCTGCAAGCCTTTTCTGCAGGTCTCAGACAATAATAAAAACCGGTGCGGATCTGCTACCTGCTTGTCCCTATGGAGATGTTAATGCTCAAAAATACAACAATTTCTTCTGAAAAAGGGGATGGAGACAAGGAAGTGGTGGATCATCCACTAGAAATGTTACACAGTGCACCTTTAATAAATAAGTAATAATACAGCCTGCAAATTCATTCTTGCCCAATTGTATTTACCTTGAACCACCACAATAAGTCTTCATTCACAAATAGCTCAGCACCATCTCACTTCCCTGGACTCTGTTTGCTAACATAGTCCATCTCCGCATCAACCCACCTTAGCCCCAGGCCCAAGGTGACAGCAAAATACTCCCTGCAAGATTTTGAAACCATTTGTTCCTACTGGTGTTTGACAGAATGACCCAGGAAACCCAGGGATCAAACCCAGAACCTTCTTGCTGTGAGGCATGAGTGCTAGCCACTCAGCCACTGTGTCACCATGGAAGTACACTTCACTATACTATTCTTAAGTATATAAATAATATAGTTTATAAAAAGTCAAGAATACTTGCTCAGTTTTAGTGTATAATAAGTTTACCAATAGCACACAAAGGGCAGATAAGGTGCACAGTCCCTTGGCTCCACCACACAAAACCTCTTAATCCTCTGACAAAAAGCTCAAAAACCCATCACATATTCTCTGGTCTAGATAATTACAGAGCACTTCGATCCCCTGACAAAACCATTCAACAATGCAGTTTTTCACAATATAGACGCTCTCAAGTTGGATGGAGACTGCGTGCCAGGACACCTGTGTCAGGTTACTTTACATAACGGTGTTTACACTGTGAACTGAACGTATCATATAAATGTCAGAAGATAAGGTCAGATTAGGTAAAGTCACTTTAACAGCTTGGACAAAGAACTACTGTGTTAAACATTTGCCATGATGCAAGATGGAGAGGTTTGATGCCATATTGTGGAACATTGCAAGCAAAGCATTAACATCTCCATGGACAAGCCTGCATGAAAAGTGACATAGTCCGTTTAAACCAGTGGTGCTCAATACGTCGATCGCGATCTACCAGTCGATCGCCAAGGTCGTGTGGGTAAATCGGCGTGTCTCATCTCGGACTCGCGTTTAGACTCGGTCTTGTCTCTCATTCAAGGTCTGACACTCAACAAGTGTAGGGCAGGTTCAACTTCCTAAACATCCTACCTGTCCATCTGCCTCACGTCAGCACGCCGCCCCTCGCCTTTTCACGCTCTCGCTCCTTCCTGCGTACAGCCAACACAAGCCCCTCCCACAGTGCGCTGATTAGAAGAACAAGACCAAACGTGAAGCAAAAATGAGTCTAAATTTGTGTTCCAGTGTTGGCACAAAGCAGGTCTACAGCATAGAGCGGATCTACAGAACAGACCTACTGCCACATTTGACTGAAGTTTGTCTAACAAAAGTGCACAAATGCATCTGTGTTTGTCACGATGTGCGTTTGGTTTGGTAAACGTGCAGAGGCTGGTAAATATCACTGCAAAACCAGAAAAGAATGCAGCTCCAGTTTGGAACTTTAAAAAACAAGTTTAAAAATCGTCCTTCACTTTTTTCTTAGTTTTGTGTGAAGTGCCAGAGGAAGTTCTCTTAAAGAAGGGCTTCTCAAACTGTGGGTGAGGGTCCAAAAAAGGGGCACAGAGTGTTTCAGTGCAGTTTGCTTGGCTTTGTATTAGATCATTTTGACTTGGTCATTTTGTAAGTAGCTCGCATGCTGAAAAAGTGTGAGCACCCCTGGTTTAAACAAACAGGTCCTACAGGTAGACAAAGATCACTGTTAGAGTTTTGACTTCACATTACTGTCAGTTATGTGAGTCTGTAATGAACAATTTCTCAAATAACATCAGATACAGATGAATGACCCATGAATGCAGAAAAATATGACTTCACAAACAGCTGCTATTGTACTTCCTATATTTAGAAGTACTATTGCAAAACAAATGTTTGTATGGTGTACTTAAAATAGGTCTATTGTCAAATGTAAATAAGGAACATATAATTACTTCAACAGAAATAATAACTGATGATTAACTGAGCCTTCTACTGCATTATACTTGCATTATATAGTATTTTAGAACTACTACTACTACTACTACAACTACTACCATTATTACTACTACCACTACTACTACTAGTACTAGTACTACTACTACTACTACTACTACAACTGCTACTACCACTACTACTACCACTACCACTACCACCTCTAGTACTACGACTACTACCAATACTACTACTACTAATACCACTACTACTGCCACCACCTTTAGTACTACTACTATCAATACTACTACTACTAATACCACCACTACTGCCACCATTACTACTACTACTACTGTTACTACTACCACCACTACTACTACTATCACTACTACTACCATCTCTAGGCATACCAATACTACTACGACTAATACCACTACTACTGCTACTACTGTTACTACTACTACTACTACCACTATGACCACTACTACTACTACTGCTACTACTACTACTACCACCTCTACTACTACTACTACCACCAATACTACTACTACTAATACCACCACTACTGCCACCATTACTACTACTTCTACTACTGTTACTACTACCACCACCACTACTACTACTACTACTACTACTACTACTACTACTACTACTACTACTACTACTATAAATTATTCTTAGGTCCTCTCCTCCTCACCTGAGTGTTATGGCACAGATCCAGCTCCAGGTAAGTCCAGGTGAGTCTGCTTCACCGCTGTGTTGTGTAACCTGAACCAACACTGCATCTACAGCCCAGAGCCTTTGCCTAATATCCTCTGTCCACACACCGACGCCCCATTGGTTCAGAGGCGGCCAATCAGATCACAGGAACAGAGAACAACAAGGGCCCATAGAGGATTGTTTTAGTGCCTCAGGAAACAGGGCTTTGTGTGTTTAGAGCAGAAGGAAGCTCACCTGGACACAAGAAGTCTTCCGAGGAGGAGGCCGAGGCTGGGGACTCAGAGGCGGACTCATCCATCACCCTGGCTGAAGTCACTGAGGTGGTTGGCAAGCTCCTTGGTGGCAAGGCTCCGGGGTTGGATGAGATCCGTCCTGAGTACCTTAAAGTCTCTGGATGTTGTGGGGCTGTCTTGGCTGACACGCCTCTTCAACATCGCGTGGCGGTCGGGAACAGTACCTCTGGACTGGCAAACCGGGGTGGTGGTCCCTCTGTTTAAGAAGGGGGACCGGAGGGTGTGCTCCAACTATAGGGGGATCACACTCCTCAGCCTTCCCGGTAAGGTCTATGCCAGGGTACTGGAGAGGAGAATCCGGCCGATAGTCGAACCTCGGGTTCAGGAAGAGCAGTGTGGTTTTCGTCCTGGCCGTGGAACACTGGACCAGTTCTACACTCTCCATCGGTGCTCGAGGGTTCATGGGAGTTTGCCCAACCAGTCCACATGTGCTTTGTGGACTTGGAGAAGGCATTCGACCGTGTCCCTCGTGGTGTCCTGTGGGGGGTGCTCTGGGAGTATGGGGTCCGGGGCCCTTTGCTAAGGGCTGTCCGGTCCCTGTATGACCGGAGCAGGAGCTGTGTTCGCATTGCCGGCAGTAAGTCAGACCTGTTCCCGGTGCATGTTGGACTCCGCCAGGGCTGCCCTTTGTCACCGGTTCTGTTCATTGTATTTATGGACAGAATTTCTAGGCGCAGTCAGGGGCCGGAGGGGGTCCGGTTTGGGGACCACAGGATTTCATCTCTGCTGTTTGCGGACGATGTTGTCCTGTTGGCTTCATCGAACCAGGACCTGCAACGTGCACTGGGGCGGTTTGCAGCCGAGTGTGAAGCGGCTGGGATGAAGATCAGCTCTTCTAAGTCTGAGGCCATGGTTCTCGACCGGAAAAAGGTGGCTTGCCCTCTCCGGGTGGGTGGGGAGTCTTTGCCTCAAGTGGAGGAGTTCAAGTATCTCGGGGTCTTGTTCACGAGTGAGGGAAGGACGGAACGTGAAATTGACAGGCGGATCGGTGCAGCTTCGGCAGTGATGCGGTCGCTGTATCGGACCGTTGTGGTGAAGAGGGAGCTGAGCCGAAAGGCGAAGCTCTCGATTTACCGGTCAGTCTTTGTTCCTACTCTCACCTATGGTCATGAGCTCTGGGTAATGACCGAAAGGACGAGATCGTGGATACAAGCGCTCGAAATGAGTTTCCTCCGCAGGGTGGCTGGGCGCTCCCTTAGAGATAGGGTGAGGAGCTCAGTCACACGGGAGGAGCTCGGAGTAGAGCCGCTGCTCCTCCACGTCGAGAGGAACCAGTTGAGGTGGCTCGGGCATCTGTTCCGGATGCCTCCTGGGCGCCTCCCTCGAGAGGTGTTCCGCTCATGTCCCACCGGTAGTAGGAGGCCCCGGGGAAGACCCAGGACATGCTGGAGGGACTATGTCTCTCGGCTGGCCTGGGAACGCCTCGGGGTCCCCCCAGAGGAGCTGGAGGACGTGTCTGGGGTGAAGGAAGTCTGGGAGTCCCTGCTTAGGCTGCTGCCCCCGCGACCCGGCCCCGGATAAGTGGACGAAAATGGATGGATGGATGTTTTTGACAAGCCCAGGTCCAGCAGACCCCGCAAGACAACTGCTCGGGAGGACCGTTTGTTGATTCGAAAATCCAAGGCCAGCCCCTTTTCCACTGCAGCAGACTCCACCAGGCCTGGTCACCTCAAGTCCCTGTGTCAACCACAACAGTTTGTAGAATTCTGTCTTGAAATGGCCTCCATGGTCGAATCAGTGCACAGAAACCAGCACTAAACAAAAGGCAATTAAAAAAACATGTGGCGTTTGCCAAGGCCCACAGCCTGCTAAAAGGATGGACACTGGAAAAGTGGCAGAAGGTGGATTTCTCAGATGAATCCTTGGTTGAATTACATCACAGCTGCCACAAATATTGCAGGAGACCTACTGGAGCCAGCATGGATCCAAGATTCACCCAGAAAACAGTTAAGTTTGGTGGCGGAAAAATCCTGGTCTGGGGTTCCATCCAGTATGGGGCTGTGCGAGACATTTGCAGGGTGGAAGGCAAATATCAATAACCTAAAATATCAAGAAGTATTAGCTCCTCTTACATTCCCAACCATAAAAGGGGTCAAATTTTGCAGCAGGATGGTGCTCCATCGCATACTTCTATCTCTACATCAAAGTTTCTCAGGGCGAAGAAGATGAAGGTGGTCCAGGACTGGCCAGCCCAGTCACCAGACATGAACATCATTGAGCATGTCTGGGGTAGAATGAAAGAGGAAGCATGGAAGGCAAAACCAAAGAATCTTGAGGAACTCTGGGAGGAATGTAAGACGCTTTCTTTGCTATTCCTGATGACTACATCAACAAATTGTATGAATCATTGTCGAACCACATGGATGCGTCCTTCAAGCTCATGGAAGTCATACAAATATTAAATATGGATCTCACAGCACCACTACTTCATTCACTGATGTTATGCAACATATTTTTGTATTTGAAGTAAATTATTTGTTCAATTTTCTGTAGGCGACAAAACTTTTGTCTTGCCAAAATCTGACCTTTCTGTGTTCATTAAATGATCAATCTTTCTTCAGTGAAGCAAATTTATTTTAGAATTATTGAGCATAATTTGGGAGGGTTTTAGCTTCATATGAGACATTTCTAAAACCAATCGATTCATTTAAAGTCAGGTTATAAGCTTTTGTTTCTACAAAATGGATAAGCGACAAGACTTTTGTCAGGGACTGTACACGACAGGAGACTAATGTGAGGAAATATTAGAAAGTGTACAAGTATATTTAAAGGGTCCATACTATGCTACTCTCTGATCTATGTTAGAATGTTGTTTTGTTTCATTCACACATGTTTAACACAAACCTGCATATTAGGCTCTTAGTTCTTCTCTCATACAGAAAACCCTCTGCTCCACCTTGTGCTGTCTTGTGGTAATACAAGAAGTGCTCCTCACACTTGAAAAGAAATACCCATCAGAGGAAATATATCCTGCAACACTAAGTCTGTTATTTATATGATCACCTGCCTCTGTGGTAAAGCCTATGTGGGTAAAACAAGCAGGGCTTTAAAAACACGGATTGCAGAGCAGAGGAGTACAATCAGATGTAAAAACATGAACTATCCTGTGGCGGCTCATTTTGTTGATTTTAACCATCCTATCTCTTCCTTAAGATATATTGGCATTGAACATGTGGAACTGGAATTTATAGGTGGGAATCGAGAAACACTCCTGTCAAAAAGAACACTTCTGATTTCACCAACTTAAGCCAACTCTAGCTTTTTCTATGTTTTTGTGATACACGTAAACTATTTCTGTATTTTATAGAATGTTTTTTATGTAAATACCTAAACAGTTTTTTCCTGTTGTAGAGTCAGCTGAACTCACTGGGTGACCTCACTTTGGGACCTCCCATTCATTGGAGGGGGATATGAGCACCTGGGCTGGCAACCATTTAGTGTACTGTGGTCCAAAGCCAGAAAAATATGGGATGAAGGCTTTTGTTGCTGAAATGTTATTTTGAAAATAAAAAAGCTTTTGGACATCAGCCATCGGAGTGTGCTATGCATTTTTTCACTTTTGATGTAAACAGACTAATAATAAAGTGTTACTCAAACGTGTGAATGAAACAAAACACAACTCCAGGTGTGTTTTTGAGGAGGTAACAGCATTCTAACATGACTTAAAGCCACAAGAGTCAATTTTGAGTAATATAGGCCCTTTAAAAGTACTTGGAAGGAAACTTTTTTATGAAACACATTTGACATATTCACTGTTTTGATGATTAAAATGGATGTATTTCATATTAACTTTGCACAAGAAATGGTTTAACAAAGACAGACTTGAGCTAGGCTTTATTTTTTATTGAACTGTATCAAATCAGTTTGAAATATATCGTATCAAATTGAAAGGTCACTGTATCGAGATATGTATCGTATTGTGGCCTACGTATTGTGACATGTATCGTATCGGCAACTTCTTAATAATACCCAGCCCTAGTCGTGACATATGTAATGCGCCACTAACTGGTATATTAAGTTTTTCCCAAATCCCGTAGGAAGAAGGGCAATAACGTCCCTCCCCTTGATTGAAAATTCACCAAACATGCTTTTTGTTACGGCTTTAAATCCTCGATCTTGGGAATCGTTGCCAATACAGAATGTATGGCTCTTCGCTGATTGGCTGGTACCTGAACTCGCACTTCCGGAGTTTTTGCGCACCAGTCTTTTCTGATTCCCTACGGAGCCCACCTGATGACATCCCGATCACGTACGCGAAAAAAGATATTAAATCGTGGCCTCAAATTACTATTTCGTTCCCACAATATATAATTCATTCCCACACTTTAGCTAAATCGTTCGCACGTTTTAGATATATCGTTCGCACGTTTTTGTAGCATCCCGGTTGAAATGATGGTCTCATATACTGATGGTTCACAACTTTTATTTTTGGGCCTTGTTTGTGAACACACCGTAAGAGCTACAAAAAAGGGAAATAAAAAAACAACAACAATTAGCTCTTACAGTGTACCTTTTACTCCTTTTAACTATTTATGACAATCTGACAATTACTGTTTACCAACAACAAATCTTATAAAACCTGAACCTTGCTATTAATATATATTGAACAAAAAAATACACATTAAAATGGTCAAACTGCACATAACATTGCTTAGACAAAGCGCACTGGCGCCATCTAGTGGATTAAATTATAACAGAGAATTATAACGGCTCAACGTACAAAAAACCCTAAACATTTCCAAAGCAAAGTAATTTCAATATTATTCCTTACTAACCTTGTTCCCACATCAACCAGGTGCTAAAGACCATATATTAATTAAAATACAGTTTCAGTAACTTTTAGATTAAATAAACTAAATTTTCCGTTGTGCTCATAGTCAGTTAGCCGCACAGACTGTTAGCCGGGAGGTAAACATCCGCTCTCACGAGGCTGCTTCCGGTTGTACATGGGCCTTTCAAACTAAAAGCATGGAACACACATTCACACACCAGTGCACACAGACACTGGGGGCAACGTGGGTTAAGTGTCTTGCCCAAGGACACAATGACAGCATTCATCTGTGGGAGCTGGAATCACACTGCCAACCTGAGGGCCAATGGATCTGACGCTCAACCAATGTCGAGAGCGGGATTCAAACCACCAACATTTAGATCAGTGCACAAACGCTCTAACTGAGCTACTGTCGCCCGTATCTTCTATCCATCCTTTTTGTTCCGCTTATCCGGGGCCGGGTCGCGGGGGCAGCAGTCTAAGCAGGTACTCCCAGACTTCCTTCACCCCAGACACGTCCCATATCTTCAAAGACTCTATATCAGGCACGTCCAAATTATGACCCGTGGGCCAAATGCGGCCCTCAGACAAATTTTTCTTGACCCTCAGGCTTCCAGGAGAATTGGCCCAGATTACCTTGCATCAATTAAAAATTTACTTTTTATTGCAAGTTTTTTGAAAATCTACCTTGATAAAGCTCATATTTAATATTTAGTGTGTGGTTTTAAGGATCTTAGCATGAATAAAGGACTGATGGCTCATTCTGATGTGTTAAACCTGCACATATTTCAGTTATTCACTGTACTGAGCACCAGTCTATGGCCCACTGCTTCGTCTGTGTTTAGATATGTGGCCCTTGATGAAAAAAGTTTGGACACCCCTGTTCTATATGAATCCAACCACTAATACATAATTCATTAAACAATGGAATCAGAGTCAAAATGTTTTTTTGTTTTTTTTTGGTTTTTTGTTGTCATTATCTGTGAACAAAATTCACAAACTAAATGTGCAATATAGTGACACATAAAACAATGAACAATAATACAAAATGACATGAATTAAATCAGACTTACAAATACAGATGGGGCAGCTGACACAGCATAAAACATGAAGTTATAAATAAACAAAAGTGAAATTATTTTTTCACTGGCCTATATTCCGTTCACATTACATCACTGTTGTTTGATTTGAGCTTAAACTTTCCTCCTGCTTCGTGCAGACGGTGAAGATGCGTCCTCAGTTTGTGGGGACCTGGCTGTTCCATTGTCACGTGACCGATCATCTGAAGGGGGGGATGGAGGCTCTCTACACCGTCAGGGAAAAGGGTGAGGGTCTATTTCAATATTATTATTCTTATGAAATAGTCCTGTTTTAATTTATAACTTTAATTCAACAGAAAAGAAGAAAGGCATTTTTGGATAAACCGCAGACAAACCGCTACAGAGAATTCACCCAAATGAGTTTTATATATAAATGCATTTGTAATTAAAGTTCATTTGATTTCCACCTTGATACTAATAAAACATACAACTTTTCCTTTCTGCCTTTGAGTATGATGAGATTTTGTATTATGTTTTTACTGTCCACTAGAGGGCACTAAAACTACACATTAAACTGGGGATTATATTTACTGTTAAACGCAAAGGTTTCACTACACCACATTGTTCATTATTGTTTTTGAACAGAATAAAAAGAAGAATATAAACAAGTTAAAGTGAATAAAAACACAGAAGAAGTGAGAGTTGCAGGGCATCTTGGTTAAAAGTCATATTCACTAAACTTGGGAATGTAAATATAAAAGAAATTATAATGTTCATAGCAGCAAGAGTAATGAGAGTAATGTTTTTAGAAAGTTATTTTTGTTTTAAAACAGTCAGAGAATGTGAGATTTTAATATAGTTCTGACTTACTGTAGTTACACTGAATGAACACTAGGTGGCAGTACTGTCTTTGAAATGGAGGCATAAACATCACACCACAGTTAATCATAGAGCTTTTTCACTATGGCTGGAATTCTTGCCCTGTAGGTTTGTGGAACTTCTGGTTAATGGTTTTCTGTGTCAAAATGTGTGTGTAAATGTGTGTCGTATTCTCCAGCAGCTTCATAAATCTGCCCTATCACCAAATCTTCAACCAACAAAATCCATAAAGGATAAACATTCTAACATGAAGAATTTATCCACAACTATTAAGGGAAGAAAGACAAAACTTAAAGGAAAACATCGACAACGCATTAGTGACACTGAAATTTTTTTAACTAATGTTATGGTCATGAATAGACCAGAAGGAACTTGTTCACTCAGACTGATTATAGAATCAATTATTATTTCATGATGCTGATATTATCATAGATGGACAGATTTGTGCAGTTTAAATGCTACAGATGTTCACAGATTACATGTCTCGCATATGAACTGCATAAATCTCTCTGTCCATGTCAGGGGTGGACAATTATTTTTCCATGGAGCCACATGAGAAACAGAAAATACTGTGGAGATCAAAATGCTTCATGCAATTCTACAGAATATTAATACTATTTCAGTATAAAAAGCAGTAAATAACATTCTTTGGCAAGCTGCCCAGACTGGTAAGAGTTTATGTTATGACAAAGCAATGAAAAAGTGAACCTGCCTTAAAAAATGTCATAAAAATAGCACCTCTAAAATAAAAGCAATGCAGCTTTTAGTCCATGTATGAGATCAAATGATGTGGAACTTCTGGTTAATCTTTTCTGTGTCAAAATGTGTGTGTAAATGTGTGTCGTATTCTTCAGCAGCTTCATAACTCTGCTCCATCACCAAATCTTCAACCAACATGGTCCACAAAGGATAAACATTCTAACATGAACAATTTATCCACAACTATCAAGAGAAGAAAGACGAAAACTTAAAGGAAACAACGATGACGCATTAGTGACACTGAACAAAACTAATGTTCTGCTCATGACTAAACCAGAAGTCACTTGTTCACTCAGACTGATTCTAGAATTCAAATTAAAAGTTGATTTCATGATGTAGGTATTAGCACAGACCAGACCTGGACATTGTACAGTTCCGGGGCCACATACAGCCCTTGGGTTGACTCTGACTGGCCCGTTTAAGATCATTTGGAATTAGAAAACATATTTGATCATTTGACCTCATACATGGACTAAAAGCTGCATTGCTTTTATTTTAGAGCTGCTATTTTTATGATTTTTTTTTTTAAGGCAGGTTCACTTTTTCATTGCTTTGTCAAAACATAAACTCTTACCAGTCTGACCAGCTCGTCAAAACAATGTTATTTACTGCTTTTTATACTAAAATAGTATTAATATTCTGTAGAAATGAGTGAAGCATTTTGACTCCACAGTATTTTCTGTTTCTCATGTGGACTCATGGAAAATGTAATTGCTCATGCCAGACATGGACATACAGATTTATGCAGTTTGAATGCGAGACATGTAACCTGTGAACATCTGTAGCATTTAAACTGCACAAATCTGTCCATCTATGATAATATCAGCATCATGAAATAATAATTGTCTGAGTGAACAAGTTCCTTCTGGTCTATTCATGACCATAACATTAGTTTTGTTCAGTGTCACTAATGCGTCGTTGTTGTTTTCCTTTACGTTTTCGTCTTTCTTGCCTTAATAGTTGTGGATAAATTCTTCATGTTAGAATGTTTATCCTTTGTGAACCTTGTTGGTTGAAGATTTGGTGATGGGGCAGATTTATGAAGCTGCTGGAGAATATGACACACATTTACACACACATTTTGACACAGAAAACCATTAACCGGAAATTCCACAAACCTACAATCTATTAGGAGATGAGAAATAAAAAAAAAAATTATATTTATAAATGCGATAAATTTTGTCGGCTTGTAAAAGAAAGTATTTCCAAAATTTACAACAGTTAACACATTCTGACAAAGAGAATTTAAAGTTCAAAAATATGTCAAGACAATAACTGAAAAGAAAATGTAAAAAATTGAAATAGTCGCCTGCACTGAGATGTCACTGCCTAAAACGTTTCACAACATGGCTTTATACTTGTGTATCTCCATGGAGACGAGCAGGCAACACCACCAGGCCAAGTTACAGGTCAGATCTGGTGGAGATTCGACGCCGATCATGGTAAGAAGCCTGTTTCTCGAAGGGATTTCTCTAACAAAAACACCAGAAATCGATCAAATGAGTTGCCAGATAAGTTGGAACATTGGAGAAAATAACAACAGCAATAACATTTCTGTGAAAAAAGTTACACGGTGCAGCTTTAAACCAGGCCAGGCTCCTTGTTTATATTCACAGTCGCAATAGAAACAGCAAATAATCTGTTCTGTGGTGTAATAAATGAGCAGGTTTAAGATAGTGCAGGCCCTAACATCCATTATGGGCCGCTTTTATTATCATTATATTACTGCTGGACACACAGTATGTTTAAGGAGCCAAAAGGTGCCCGCAAATCTGCCACGGCAACAATAATAAAACTCAAAATGTCAAATCCGTTCACGGGGCAACAAGGCAATAATATACGGCCTTATATTTCAGCGAGACAATCCACATGCACAGAGCTGGAACAACGACGACGGCGGTTTTGTTATAGTGAAAGTACAAAACCCAAGAGTAAAAGTACACATGAGAGACTTTTATGACTCTCTAATTTTGATTTAATGCCCGTTGTAAAAATAGATTATAGTTTTACTCCAATCAAGAAGCAATTTGTGAAGAAAAGCTGAAAAATGTGTTGAAAATGACAGAAAGCAGAGTTCTAACACATACTGATGGTACTGCATTAAGGGAGAATTCTGTCCAGTTCTGCTCGTTCCCGTGGAGATGTTGTTGCTTTACCTAGAATGTTTGACAATATGGCTTTAAACTACCGTAGAAATAAGCAGGTGATGTCAACCAGGACGAGTTACATGTCAGATCTGTGGCGTGGCTGCCCCGCTCACAGTAACAGTGCAGGTTTTTCAAGTTATTTTTAAAGCATTTAAGTAACAGTAGTGGAATAAATGTAAGATGGGAAAATTTAATGATTTACTGTGGTATATTTTATGCAAAATCTCCATGGAAACACACAGATGAAGGATGCTCTACTGTAGAAGTTAGAGTGGTGGTGGTGTACATGCAGGTGGCGTACATGCGGGTGAGGCGGGTGGTGTACATGCGGGTGAGGCGGGTGGCGTACATGCGGGTGAGGCGGGTGGCGTACATGCGGGTGAGGCGGGTGGCGTACATGCGGGTGAGGCGGGTGGCGTACATGCGGGTGGCGTACATGCGGGTGGAGGCGGGTGCGTACATGCGGGTGAGGCGGGTGGTGTACATGCGGGTGGCGTACATGCGGGTGAGGCGGGTGGCGTACATGCGGGTGAGGCGGGTGGCGTACATGCGGGTGGCGTACATGCGGGTGAGGCGGGTGGCGTACATGAGGGTGAGGCGGGTGGCGTACATGCGGGTGAGGCGGGTGGCGTACATGCGGGTGGCGTACATGTGGGTGAGGTGGGTGGTGTACATGCGGGTGAGGCGGGTGGCGTACATGCGGGTGGCGTACATGTGGGTGAGGTGGGTGGTGTACATGCAGGTGAGGCGGGTGGCGTACATGCGAGTGAGGCGGGTGGCGTACATGCGGGTGAGGCGGGTGGCGTACATGCGGGTGGTGTACATGCGGGTGAGGCGGGTGGCGTACATGCGGGTGATGCGGGTGAGGCGGGTGGCGTACATGCGGGTGGTGGCGTACATGCGGGTGAGGCGGGTGGCGTACATGCGGGTGAGGCGGGTGGCGTATACATGCGGGTGATGGCGGGTGGCGTACATGCGGGTGAGGCGGGTGGCGTACATGCGGGTGAGCGGGTGGCGTACATGCGGGTGAGGCGGGTGGCGTACATGCGGCGGGTGAGGCGGGTGGCGTACATGCGGGTGAGGCGGGTGGGGGGTGCGTACATGCGGGTGAGGCGGGTGGCGTACATGCGGGTGAGGCGGGTGGCGTACATGCGGGTGAGGCGGGTGGCGTACATGCGGGTGAGGCGGGTGGTGTACATGCGGGTGAGGCGGGTGGCGTACATGCGGGTGAGGCGGGTGGTGTACATGCGGGTGAGTGGTATATGCGGGTGGCGTACATGCGGGTGAGGCGGGTGGCGTACATGCGGGTGAGGCGGGTGGCGTACATGCGGGTGAGGCGGGTGGCGTACATGCGGGTGAGGCGGGTGGCGTACATGCGGGTGAGGCGGGTGGCGTACATGCGGGTGAGGCGGGTGGCGTACATGCGGGTGAGGCGGGTGGCGTACATGCGGGTGAGGCGGGTGGCGTACATGCGGGTGAGGCGGGTGGCGTACATGCGGGTGAGGCGGGTGAGGCGGGTGGGGTACATGCGGGTGAGGCGGGTGGCGTATATGCGGGTGAGGCGGTGGCGTACATGCGGGTGAGGCGGGTGAGGCGGGTGGTGTACATGCGGGTGAGGCGGGTGGCGTACATGCGGGTGAGGCGGGTGAGGGCGGGTGGTACATGCGGGTGAGGCGGGTGGCGTACATGCGGGTGAGGCGGGTGGGCGGGTGTGGT